TCTCCTCCAGGGACCTCCCTCGCCCTCTACCCTAAGCCTTGGTCTCGTCTCTCCTCTAGGCCTGGCCTCAGTTTATCCTATCCCTCCTCTTTGACCTCATCTTCTTTCACCCGCCCCCCCCCTCCCCATGCCAGCAGCGGCCCCTCCACGTTCCCACCTCAGAACCTTAGCACAGCCTCTTTCCTCAGCCTGGCGTGCTCTTCCTCTGTGTCCATATGGCTCACTTCCTTGCACCTTCAGGTTTTACTCAGAGTCACCTCAGTGAGGCCTGTCTTTACACCCACACACTTCCTATCCCCCTTTCCTGCTTTTCCTTCTAACACTTTTGCACAGAATATCAGCTCTGATGAGAACAAGGACTTTTGTGAATCTTCTTTGTGCCTGTATCCTCAGCACTGCAATGGTGTCCGGCAGGCTGTAGGCTTTCAGCCAACATCTGCCAAGGGAATGAAAGGGGTCTGTGCTCTGCTGAAGTGCCTGTGATGGGTCGGGCTCATCTAGCTTGACATTGGGATCAGAATCTGCAGGATGTTATGGCAACAGGCCTAGAGCAGGTCTGTGGCAGTGTAGTGGACAGTAGGCAGGGGTTCTGGAGGGGCCCACTGGCTGCCTTGGCTCTGAGACCATCTCCCAGGGACATAAAGATGCTAGAAGGCTGAAGTAGTCAGTGAGGGACAAAGGAGGGTAACAACCAGAACCCTGGGACCCATATATGCCTCTCCTACCTGTGACTGAGGCCTTATGGTTATGCTGCTCTGAACCATCAGGAATTAGAAAGGCCACTCTCCTCGTGTTCACAGAGCCACTGAGGTTCAGAGAGGAGAAGAGAGGCTTACCCGGGGTCACAGGGGGAAGCAGCTGGCTGGGACTTCCAGCTGTGGGCCTTCCCTGTGACCCCCAGGCCTGTTCCCTGGTTAAGCTCTCCACTCTGGGATATCAGACATACCTCTCTCCTTTCTCCCTGGGTCCCCTATAATCTTCCCACCACCTATTCTCATGCTATGGCCATTTTTCACCTTTTAAAATATATGAAACCCATGTAGGTGTATATATCAGCTATATATTAAGAAGCACAATCATCTAACCCATAAATTTTTCCCAACTCCAAAAACTAGAAAATTATTAATAGCTTCCACCACCCCTGTGCTCCTCCCCATCTCATCTCCCATTTCTATAATCCTATATCCCTGGAAGAACCAACCCCCCCACCCCCCCCACCCCCCGCTTTTTTAAAGTAGTTTTATCATGTGTTTGCTCAAAGAATATGTTACTTTTGCATGTTTGTCAACAGTCTAACTGGTGTCATACTGTATGCAGTCTACTGCATTGCTTTTTATGCCTCCAAAATATTTCCTTGTTGCAGGTAGCTATTGTGCCTTAGTTTTTATTTATGTATCAAACCTGTTGTATGTGACTGTACTGCAATGTACATATCTATTCCCATGTAGATGGACATTTGGATTGTTTCCAGTGCCCCCTGACCATCCACTCTGTGCCCCCTTTCAGCCACATCTCCTGAGGTGCCCACTGAACACCTCACAGCCTCCTCCTGGCTGTGCTCCTAAGATCCTGCTCACTGACCCTTTCACTCTCCCATGGCCCCAGCTATATCCACACACCCACAACTTTTTCAATCTCATTCTTCAACTCTTTCGAACTCCAGACTATACAAAAGACATAATTGTTTATTGAGCACTTACTATGTGCCAAGCACTATTCTCAGCATTATATATGTTTTATTCCATTGAATATCCACAGCAATGCAAATGTAGGTAATAATAACATTACAAAAACAAAACAAAAACCGAGTCCCAGAGAGGTTGAGTAACTTGCCCAAGACTACACATTTCTTGCCCTTCAAGTCCCATAGGCAACTCACGCTCAACATGTCCACCATATAACTTGTCATCTTCCTTTCTCAACCAGTTCCCCTCCCATGCTCTGCTCTCAGTAGAGACATCTCCAGTGTCACAGGCCCAAGCCAGAAACTGAAAGTAAGACCTGACTCCTGCCTTGTCCTCACCCACTCCTCCATCCAGTGCCAGCCCAAGTCCTAGTTATTGAGCAAAACCCTTCTCACCCACCAGCACTGACCTATGAGGTGCGCTGCTGCGCCTCTTGGATTATTGCCTTTCACCATACTCGCTTGCAGGCCCCAATATCTCCCTTTTCCACCACCCTGCACACAGCAGCTCAGGAGGACTTTCTAAATCTCTTCTCTCCATGTCCCCGCCTCCAGAAGAAAGCCCAGCCTCCTCTGCCCCCTGTCCCCTCAATCTGTAAAGTGCAGCAGCCAACCCCTGAAAGTATAGCCCCCACCCCCAATTCTGCAGTACCTCCTCTGAGAAGCCATCCTTGGCCTCAGCTTTGAGGCCAGACTGTGAGCCCTCTATGCGCCTCACAGTCTCCATGTAGCCCCCTCTCCACAACTTAGCTCTTGACTCCTGTCCCCATTAGACTGTGTTTCTCAAAGGCAAAGACCCAGCCTCCTCCACTCAAGGCCTGCACACAGGAGGTACTCAATAATTGCTGAAAGGATAAACACACAAGCAATGGTAGGAACCATGGATAATGCTGCCTTCTGAATCCCAGAAAGTAGGATGATTCCTGTCTGGCCCTAGAGTTGGTGTCTCCTGGCTGCCCTACCTCCATCCAACCTCTGGGCCTATCCTCTTGAACTCCATGAGGCCTTTTCCTGTCTCTACACCTTTTAGAAAGATTTGCCTCTCTGCATCTTCTTTTCTAGCTCTGGAGTTTCTTAACGTGGGACAGCTCTGACACCAGGAATAAGGAAGAGGAGTCTAACCCCTTACATACTTTCCGTCTATCTACATCAAGCATTTTCAAGGGTGGGGGGTAATTTTGCCCCCAAGAGAGAGAAAATGGATTATTGGAAGGGGTAAATGAAAAAGTTTACTATTTCTGTATAAAGCACAGGCATACGTAAAATACACAGATATACAGTATCCTAGTATCTATGGTATTAAAATATCATGTAATGTGGGATGTGGGGGTCTAACCCTGGTTGATGTGTCTCAGTTGGTTGGGCATCATCCTGTGTTCCAAAAGGTTGCCAGTTCAATTCCTGGTCAGAGCACATGCCTGGGTTTCAACTCAATCCCTGGTAGGGGGTGTGCAGGAGGCAGCCAATCAATGTTCCATTCTCACATCGATATTTTTCTTTCTCTCTCTAGAATTCAATTTAAAAAAATCTTTAAAATATAAATATATATATATTGCTTGTGAAGTAGGGCAATAATGACAAAAAAAAAAAAAAAGTAGAGAAACTCTGACCTACATCATGCCTGGGCTTTGTCTAATCTGGTGCAAGGACTGGCCAAAACTGAGGAAGAGTCTTGATCCTATCTCAGGGAAGCTCAGGATAGCAGCTCAGGGTATCCCCAGAACTGACTGCCCACTAGCTAGCTGTTGGTCTTTCCCCAAGCCATCCCTTTCCTATCCTATGCCTGAAAGTCCACTGTTCTGTGTCTGGCATCTTTTGATCTTCTGTTCTTCCTGTGGCCTTTCCCCATTCTCCCCCAGGGGGCGCCGCAGCTCCCAGGACTGGAAGAAGTTGGAGGCCTCTTGGGTCCATCCTCTAGCTTTGGGCTATGGCATAACCCTAGAGTTCCTGGAAGAACCAGGAGGGAAACCTAACCATAGGAGGCACCCAGGAAGCAAGGGTGCCACTGTGGGGCAAGGCTTTATTGTGGTGGGAATGGGGTCACAAATAATCTTACTTAGAATTGCTGTACTTGGATGTTGTCACTTAAGGGTGAGACAGGCTGGACTGGAGTTCTGTTGTCGAGGGACACGGAGACAGAGGCAAGGGAGGCGTTCACAGTGTGGTGAGGCATGGTCTTGGGCAATACAGGTGTTTGGTGGTCTTCATACTCCACAGGATTCTCCAGTATCTGGGGCTCCCGTGGGATAGTAAAGCCAATGAAGACCACGTAGATGATGCCACCTAAGTAGGCACCGAGGACCGGTGCCACCACTGGCACCCACCACCAGTTCTTATCCCTGCAGGCAAGAGGCAGAGGCCTGGTGAGGGGGCCGATACCCGAGACAGCAGCTGCATCCACCTCATGCCGAGACGGGGTAGGCCTGAGAGTAGAGGAGTGACCCCCATCCTAACCCAGGAGTCACCCCTGAGCCTGAGACACTGGTCAGCTGTCCCTGATTCATGGACAGGGGCTGATCTGGGGCAGGAGTTACATTCAGTCCAGAAGCAGGATCTGCATCCGTGCTCATCAGAGGGATGGTCGGGACCCACTCCTGCCTCCCCAGACCACCTGGCAGCTCTGCAGGACTCCTGTGCTGTCCCTCATATCACCTCCACCCCTCCACATGCAGGAAACCCACAGAAAACGAAGGAGTGGGCTGGGCAGGGCAGTACCTGAAGACCTCTGTGCCCCAACCGGCAATAAAGGTGAAGAAGCGGGGAGGCAGGTCCCGGGATGGATTGATGGCATATCCTGTGTTCATGCCCAGAGACACTCCAATGACGACAATAAGGATGCCAATCACCACGGCCTGTGTCCCTGGCAGGGCTGGGTTGTTACGTTTGTCCGTGATGGCAAGGAGACATAGCTGGAGTATCCCCGTAACGAATACCTGTGGAGCAGATGCCATAGCAGCCACCCAGGCCCCCTAGCCAAACCAGGGCCTCAACAGTGCTCCCAGGCTGAACCCCCTGGCAGAGATATATCTTATACAGTTCCCATCAGAGTTCTTATCCCTCTATGGCGGGGGGCTGCCTGCCGGCCCCTTCCTGAGGTGGGGAGGGCCTGTGGAGGGACAACCACCCTGAACCACTGACCTCATCCAGGAAGCCCCTCCACAATGTCATGTACTCAGGAAGGTAGGTGGCAAAAATGTTAGCAGTGGCTACAGGGCCAGTCACTGTCAGATTTCCGCCCGAGTAGTTCATAATGGCTGCTGTGGAGACGAATTAGAGTGTGAAACTTCCCCTAGTTCAATCAACCCCACTGTAGTCGCAGAAGTAAGGTGGGAGGCAGGGGTTGGGAGCATCTCCAGGGCTTTTCTCTCCCAGACCTTTTCATAGGCCAGGACACTGAGATCAGCTCTGCCCTTAACTCAGAGGAGGAGGCTGCGGCCAGAAGTGGACAACCCAGGACAGGACACTCACCGTAGAAGATGCCATAGATGCTGGCAGCAGCCAAGAAGGAACCCACGAACTGACCCAGGACATACACAGGAAACTTCTTCCAGGACAAGTGGCCTAGTGCACAGTTGGTGAAGGTCACCGCTGCGTTCATGTGGGCGCCTGTGGGGTGGGCAAGTGTGTCGGGAGAGTGAGAGCAGATGCAACAACAGTAACAATATTGAGAGCCCCAACAATAATAATGAGGCAAGCATTTATGCAGTGCACTCTCACTTAATTCTCACAAGGACCCGGGGCAGAGACCACTATCTCCATTTGATCATTAAGGAACGCGAGGAGTGAAGAAATTAAATAGCTTGGCTAAGTTGACCCAGCCTGTAAAACTGGTGGGTCAAGGAGGCTCTTGGAGAGTCTGGGTGAGAAGGGGGCTTCGGGTATTCTCCCTCCCAGTGGGCAGTGGGGTGAGGCGCTGGATGACTGGGAGAAGGGGATGCTGGAGGTGGGCAGGAAGAACCTGCAGGGGATCCCTGGCCTTGACAGTCGGGCAGGGCCCAGGCTCACTCACCAGAGACTTTCCCTGCCACGTGCACTCCAATGGCGACTCCGAAGCCAAAACCCAAGTTGACACCGAGGAAGCTCCCAAAATTTTCTCCTAGAACCATATGGGCCACGGAGCCAAGGCCAAACACCTGCGAGGGAGGGCCTCTGAGAGGACTGCCTTCCCAGAAGCCCCAACCTCAGAGGCGGGCTCAGAGCTCAGTTCAGGCTCCTCACCCTTGTGCCCTGGGCCTCCCCAAATCGCCCTGGGAGACCCTCTGCCATGCCCTTTTCCTCCGGAGACTTCCCTCCTCATGACCTCTCCCTACTCGTCCCTGTCAGGGCCTCTAAGACCTGACCAGTGAGAGCTGGGTGGGAGTGTAAAAGGAGCCCAAGTGGGATAGTGGAGACAGAGGCTCTTATGGACACATCCAGACCCCTAGACCCCAAGCCCACCTGAAGTTCAGGGGATGGCAGGGCCTCGAGGTGGACCTGGCTGCCGTGGATTGAACCTCAGAACATCTCACACTTCAAGCCTAGCCTGAAGGAAGATTCTTCAAGGGATCTCCAAACTTCATGCCTGGGCTCTGCCATGGCCCCCACCCACATCAGCCCTGGGAGCCAATGGGATTCTGACTCGCACCCTTAGCAACATTTCCATTGCCCTCATGTGTAATTCCTGAACTTCCAGCTCTTACCCATCCCTACCTGCTGGATCTCCTCAGGTGACACCCCCAGGGACCCGCTTTGCAGGGAGAATAGAGGCCTGAAGCTAGGCCCTCACCACCTACAGCCACCCATCTGAATCTATATCTGCCTATCTCTTCAGCTCTCAAACCTGCATCCAGCCTCTCCCTTCCTCTGCAGAGGCCTCCCTCTTGCCTGTATCGTCCACCCTCCCCTTCACTGGCTCCCACAGACTCATGTCTCTTCCTTTCTAAAAGTAATCCTTCCCACCTCAGCCCAGCCTTCCTGTCCACCCGTGGACACCTCTCCCCCTCCTGTCAGGCTCCAGGAAAGAACCCACCGGCTGGCTCCTTTATTCCCTTGCTCTCCCTCCTCAATCTGGCTTCTGCTTCCACATCTCACCAAGACTACAGCTCTCTCAGAGGGCTCCAGCCCTCTGGTTTCCCAAAGGTCCCTTCAGACATTGTCTTACTTGACTCTGCTGACTTTGACTCTCTTAACCACTCTGCTCCTGGAAAGTCCCTCCTCTCAGCCTCCATGACATGTCCCCCTCATGGTTTTCCTCCTCCCTCCCTCTCTACAGTTCCTTCCCACATCCTTTTTCCTTCATCTGCTCCATGAGTGTAGATGATCCCAGGGCTTCCTCCCTGGCCCCTTTCATGTCTCGCCCCAGGCACTCTTCTTGAGTCTTCTTACCAGGTCTATGGCTCCAGCTATGCCTACTGCACTAAAATTCCCAAAACCTGCCCCTGGGAGCCCGATCCCTGTTTCCCGATACCCGCTGGAAGTCTGGGTGTTCCACAGGCATCTTGGACTCTCTGTTGAAAGCTCACCATCTCAGAAAATATGATCCTCATCCTATGTTCCCCATTTCAGTTGGCCAAACCAGAAACTTGGATGTCACAAGTGAGAGCTTTCTCTCCCTCCTCCCCCACACCCACTCACTTCTGTTTACATTCTTCCCAGGTCTTTTTCAGCCGCCTCGCACCCAGAGTGACCTTCCTAACACAGAGGTCTGGTCGTGTCTGCCCCTCATTTAAACATTCACTGGCACCCCTTCATTTCTAGGATAAAGTCCAAGCCCAGTAGGCCTCCATCCAAGACTCTTTGTAATTTCTGCCTCTCAGTTTCATATCTGCTCCAGTGTTCTCTATGTTCAGCAGTAGTATTACCACTAAGTAATAATGACCACTTACTGAAAATTTGCTATGTGCCAGGCACCGGTAAACGTTACATCTCTTGCTTCCTTTAACCCTCACACCAACATACGCATGAGGTACTATTAATCTCCCCATTTGACAGATGGACAATTCAAGGCTTAGAGAAGTTGAGTGACTTGGCCAAAGTACACAGTCTGCATGTAGTAAGCCAGAATTTGAATCTCAGGCAGTCACCTATGCCAGACAGCCTCAAACCAAACAACCACACTGCTCCCTGCACACCTCTGTGTTTTTCCATATGTTATTCCCTCTGTCTGGAATACCTGATCCTAGATCCTGACAAAATGATAGTCTACTTTAAGGCCACACTCAGCACCTTTGAAAAGTCCATGTGTTTTGGACATGTTGACTCTGAGGAACCTCTAGATGTCCAGATTGCTGGAAGTCACAGTCTGGATTTGTATCATCCAATGTGATGGCCACCAGCCACATGTGGCTATGATGTGCTTGGAATGTGGCTAGTCCCAACTGAGAGCTGCTTTAAGTGTAAAGTACAAATTCATCAAAGACTTAGTAGGAAAAGGAGAATGTAGAATCTTATTAATAGTTGTATATTGACTGCATGTTGAACTGGTAATATTTTGGCTCTATGGATTAAATCTATTAAAATTCATTTCACTTTTTATCTTTTTAAAACATTTAAAATTACATATATGGCTCATATTGGAAGGCAGCTATGCTCACCACTATACCACCAACGCCTTCATATATGGCTCATATTGTATTTCCCTTTGATAGTTCTAGAGTTTTTGAAAAAGATAACCTGGAGAACTGTGGACATGAGGACTACTTCTGAAGCCATCAGGGAGGACGAAAGCAGGAGAGAGGACGCAGAGTGAGAAAACATCTGAGGGCTGAGCCTGGAGGGCATTAGAAATGCTCGCTGGAGCAGGTGTTGAAATGAAAGAAGAACAAAGAGAGTGTGTCCTGGACATCAGGGAGAAGCAGAGTTCCCAAGAAGGGTGTGGTCCACACAGTCCGGTGCAACCTTTGGGACAAGTGCATGAAGGCCTAGAAGGCCTCCCTTTGGATGTGACAATCAGAGGTCATTCATAATGTGATGAGCACTGTATCATCAGGCCATGGGGACAGAAGCCAGGTCTTAGAGGCTGAGAGGTGAGTAGGTAGCGAGGAGGAGTTGAAGGGCTCCAGTGTAGACCTCCCTTTGTGAACCTGCCTGAGAAGGGAGTGAGAATGTGATAAATGAGGGGGCTCATGGGATGAAGGGTTCTGTGTTGTGCTGTTTTAAGTAGAGAGACTTTGGTATGTTAAGATCGAGAGAGGGAGAGGCTGGAGATGAAGGAGAGAGAAAAGGGACGGGGTAAAGTATCTCAGTAGACTGTGGGATGGGACTGACAGGATTGAAGGAGGGGCCCTGCCTGAGTGGAGGGGGAGAAATGTGGATACACAGGTAGGTGTGTTCTGGTGGTGAGAAGGACAGGTGGGTAAGGAGCCAGACACAGAAGCCCACCTGATGGTTTTCTCTTTGAAGCTGGAGGCCAAGCCATTTGCTGATTTAAAAACAGGCAGTCCAACCAGCGTGGCTCAGTGGTTGAGTGTGGACCTATGAACCAGTGAGTCATGGTTCAATTCCCCGCCTGGGTTGTGGACTTGATCCCCACTGTGGGCCATGCCGGAGGCAGCCAATCGATGATTCTCTGTCATCATTGATTTTTCTATCTTTCTCTCTGAAATCAATAAAAGTATATCTTTAAAAAGAAAAAATAATAATAAAATAAAAAACAGGCAGAGTACAGAGCAGCTTTGGGAAGTCTGAGGAAAAGTGAAATAGCCTGGATAGAGTAGGGCAGAGGCAGTGAGCAGGGCCCACGGGGTTCCTCAAGAGCCCTAGGACAGGTGCAGAGGGGCCCAGAAGTGGGCCAGCTTAGGGCCAAGGGTAGGATGAGGCAGGAAATGACAGGAACAGATGGGCTGTGGGAGTGGGGAGTGAGGTCAGGACAGACTGACAGGTTTGGAAGGTGTCGGGAAGTGTAGGGAGTGGAGCCAGCATGGAAGGTAGAAGACCAAGGGTCCTTTATTTCCAAGAAGGAGCTCAGAACCATTTGCTAAAAATAATGAATGAGCAAATAAACCCCACCTGGTCTCCTGTGTCATGGTTGCTAAGTGGCAGCCATGGGCTTAATCCAGCCGTGGGCAAACTACAGCCCACAGAGCCGAAAGAGCGGAGGGTTTTCTTGCTCTCCCCTCCGCTCCTTCACCAGCAGCAGTGTTAACATGTATTAGTTCACACAAACACTCCATCCATGCTTTTTTTCCGGCCCTCCGGTCCAGTTTAAGAACCCATTGTGGCCCTGGAGTCAAAAAGTTTGCCCACCCCTGGAATCCATCCAACACACATGCTTGGTTTCAATAACTTAGTTTTGACAATCAGAAGTTTCAGCTTCTCTTGAGGAATCAGAAGCCCAAGTAACGCAAACCTACGTTCCACCCTGCACGGCAACAGTCAGCTGGAGCAGTGGCAGCTGCATCCTTGCACAGGTCGACACTCTGCAGTCAGGCCCCCTCCACTCTGAGTTGCTCTCTCTGGCCCCTGGAATGAGTAAGTTTGCACCCCTGCCCTATGGTCCAGTTCACGTCTACAGCTGGTTTTTCAGATCCCTGATGGCCCACCTCCTCCCTTCCTGGTCAGTAAATGTGGCCAAGTCCTTCCAACAGTCAGAAGACCAGCCTCGAGGACAACACTCTCATAGATGGCAGAGAGGAATTGAGTAGAACAGCCCATTTCCCTCATCCTGGACACAGTAAATGGAGCCCAAGGTCACACTTGTTTTTCTCGCAAAACCTTTACCCTGATGATTCACCGAACTTCCTATCAATTTGGCACAGGCCCAACAAATAACAATAACACAATGCTTAAACCTCCCAAAGTTCTTTGACATGTGTTACTTCTTTTAATTCTCACAGCAAATCTGAATGGCAAATGTTTCTGCTCCCACTCTACCGATGGGGAAAAACAAGGCTCCGAGTGAGGTCTTGGACTATGTGGAGCCTAAAAGCGAGGGCCTTATCTCAGCTCGGGGCTAGTTAACAAACCAGGGTGTTAGAAATCCTGCCATCACTAAACAGACACAGAGCATAGAGGTTAAGGGTCAAGACCATGATAGACTAGACTGGATTTAATTTTACCTTAAAATGTGACTTGAGGCAAGTACAGTCTCACGGAATCTCAGTTTCCCCCTCTGAGAAGTGGGGGTAATTTCTCAGAGCGGGGAACTCTGAGGATTGGGAAGGTATTGCACGTAAGGGGCTTAGTTTAGAATCAGTGCCTGGCATGCAATAGGTGCTCAATAATAATCTCCAAAAAAGGAAGAGAAATGCAGACATGGGCAGGCATCAATGGGTGGTGCCTTTTTCTCTAAGAGATTTCCAAGGAAGCACCCTCCTGCCTCCAGGGTTCCAAGGTTTAATAGTCCTCATGGGACTGGAATGTTTTGTCATAAATGAATTACTTTGCCCTGGTTTAAGGCAGGACAGAATCCAGTGCTGTCCTCGTAGCTCAGGAGCCAAGCAGGAAGGTGAGTAGTGGGGGAGGGAGAGAGTGGAAGGCAGGGAGGAGAAAGCCGCTTAGAGCACTTGTCATAATGACCAGACACCAACACAGGGTCCTACATGTGAACCGGGTGTTGGGCTCTTGGTCTTCCTCACACAAGTCTGCCAGCTCAATGTTAGTTTCATGTTTACTAACGAGGAAGCTGGAGTGTGAACAGTTAAGATACTTATGAAAGATCACACAAGGAGAAGGTAGCAGAGCCAGAATTCAAACCCATCTCCAAAGCCCACGAAGGCCCCATTCAGCACATTTTATGATTGAGAAGGCACACTCGGAGGCACAGAGAGATCTGCTCCAGGTGGATCTCAGTGGCAGGATAAGAACCCAGACATCCAGAGTCCCATGGGCTCCGTAAGTCCCATCATCTCCTATCCTGTGGCGCGCGCGCACACACACACAGACTCACACACACTGTTACACTCATATTCACATATACTCACACAGTTACACTCATATTCACGTGCACACACACACACGCATGCACGCAGTTACACTCATATTCATGTGCCCACGCACACGCGCGCACACACACACAGACTCACACACACTGTTATACTCATATTCACATATACTCACACACACAGTTACACTCATTCACGTGCACACACACACACTCAGGCACACACTGTCTCACACACCCTGCCTCTCTTCCTACTTCCTCTGGCGTGCTCCTGGCTGCCTTTACTTTTTTTCCCAGAGGCTGCCCCTTCTTTTCATGGACCTGGGTTCTCCCTAAGATGCAGACAAGCATGGCTATAGGTCAGGGGCAGAGGCTGGCTGGGGAAGGTGGCAGAGCTGAAGCAGGGGAGGAGGGAGTTTCCAAGAAAGAGCACCTCCTGGTTGAGGTCTCGTTTCTGTCCTATCACCCACTAAAAGAGCCCTTGCCAGGTCCCCAGTGACTTCTATGTTGTCAAACCGCATGGACCCTGGTCAGTTCTCACCTTCTCTGTCTGCTGACCACTCCCTCCTGTGGGCCCCCCACACTCCCATCACCAGTCACACCCACTTTCTCCTTCCACCTCTCTGGCCGATACTTCCCAGGCCCCTTTGTGTGCCATTCTTCATTCTCTCTCCTCAGCGTACTGTCTCTTCATATACACTCTCACTGAACAGTTTTTTAACGACCTCCCATACTCTGATGAACTCTAACTCCATACTTCCGGCCCAAGCTTCTGTCATGAGCTCCAGGCCTCTATAACCAGCCACCTCCTAGATTTCTTCCCAGGCACCTCACCTGATCATGTCCAAACTGACTTTACCTCTCGCCCTGTGCTGGGCCCAGGGCTCAGAATGGCCCCCTTGGCACTTACCCCACATCTATGGCTTAAAAAACCTCCTTGATCCCACCTTCTACAACTACCTGCCTCAAACATGTGCTTTCTTCTCTATCCCTGGACCATTTGCCATTCTTTGTCTTAGGTCTTTGCAACAGTCTCTTAACTGGTCCCCCTCACTTCACTCTGCCTTGCCCATTCTGTTGAGACTCCACACTACCCCCAGAATTTCCTTCTAAAAATCCAAATCTGACCACATCATTCCCTTGCTTGAAGACCTTCAGTGTCTCCCCTTTGCCCTCAGTATTAATTCTCAAAACCTGACACTTGCCTTGGCCTGTGTGCTCAGTGGTTAGAGCATTGGCCTGCACACTAAAGGGTCGCAGGTTCAATTCCTGGTTAAGGGCACATAACTCACATCAATGTTTCTCTCTCTCTCTCTCTCCCCCCTCCTCTCTCCCTCCTACTCTCTCTAAAAATCAATGGGAAAAAATATCCTCGGGTGAGTATTAACAAAAAAGAAAAAACCTGACACTCAACATTCTCTCCAATCTCTTTCCTCTTGATGTCCCTTCTCCCCACTTCCAGTCATGCCCCCTGACACTCCCAGCCCATAATTTTGTTCTGCCTCCACAAAGTACGATCCCTTTCTCTCCCCAAAGGACGGTGATAAAGGCAGAGCTTTCTCCTTACTTTCCTATGCTTCCCCATCAGGCTCCTAGATCCGAGACGGGAATGGGCAATGTGACCCAGGAGGCCAGCAATGGGAGGGTCATGGATTGCCCTCACTGAGCCCCAGCCTCGTGAAGTCTTGGGTTCGTGCCCCTTCCTCAGAACCCCATCATGACACTCACCATCATGACAAATGTGCTCATGAGCTCGGCCAGGAATTCTCGCACCATCTCCTTCTGCAGTATTGCTTGCATCCTTATTACCACGGGCGACGGGATCATCTTGGCCTTGCAGGTGGACCTGAAGCAGCAGCCCAAACTCATAAGCAGAAGTGAGACTCAAGTACACTTGCTACCTACCCATCAGCCCATTAACTCACGGCTGAGTTAATGGGTAACCCAGTGGACTGTCCACACACACACACACGCGCACACACACACCTCCTGTTGCTCCGGGCTGCTGAGACAGCTGGGATCAAAGACACCTGAGTGCCACGGGGACATGGAGCGGGACTGGGGGCAGATAATCAGGTCATGCCCCTTCTTCTTTCCAGTAGGGACTGCACCAGTGGGAAGACCGCACCAACAAGGCCACTTGGCAGAGGGGCAGTTGGGGATCTGATTGATGCAATTTGTGGTGCCAAGGAGCCCCGGGCAAGAAGCAAGTGGAAGGGAGCAGGGAGGAAGGTGGAACTCAGTTGTCTGTCTGTCTGCCTGCCTGTAGGAACCAGGTACCTGAGGACACAGGCAAGACATCAGGCAGTACCTGACAATTGAAAGGCATTCTGCACGCAGCACAGGGTGAGACAAAGTCTGCTCCCAGGCTCTATAAACAGCACTGGGGCTTGAAATGTGCACCAGGTTCTGCCAAAGATGAGGGGGTTTGCAAAGTGCACCCGCTCAAAACCAGGTGAGTGAGTGAACAAATGAGAGAAAGGGAGAGAGGAAAGAAGGATCTTACTCCTTGATGTATTCTCAGTGCCTAGCACAGTGCCAGACACATAGGTGTTCCAATATATATATAGTAGGATGGATAAAAACTGGGGAATTCATCTGTCTTTCCATTAGATCCCCAGAACTTTCTGCAGTGCCTGGCCCATGGTAGATGCTTGATAAATATTTATTTAATAAACTCATGATTGGGTGGATAGAGGAAAAAGTGAGTTATAGGCCCTATCGTCTATTGGGGGGGGGGGGGGATAGAGCTTGAGTTTGGAGGAGATGGGGTGCAGAGGCTAAAGAGGAGAAAGAGGGGTGGAGATAACTCTAAGTGTGGCCTTTGGTGCAGGTTAAGACTGGTGACACTCCCTGTTGACTGCCTGAAGCTGACGCTAGGCACTTACTACCTTGCTCTGCTTGGGCTAGCAACATCACCCCCCAACACCCCAGGCCTCCGAAATTTCCCCAGCCTCACAGCAGCAAAGAGTAAGCAGAGGGAGTGAGAAATGTGAACCAGGCATGGACACACCACCTTTTGCTTTTCTGGCGGGGCCCCCCATGTTCATTGCTCACCCACCTCAGTCCTTGCTCTGTCCTTATCCCAGGAAAACAAACCCAGGCCTGCGCATTGGAGGGATATAGAGTTGCCTGGATGATCCATTGGCTCCCATCCAACTCCAGCTCCCATGCATCACCATGTATGGTCGGTCACCTTGCCCCCATGACTGGCCTCCTTGGCCCCGAAGAAGAGCCTATGAGCAGCCTGAGGCAGTCAGGGACCCAGACAGTCCTGGGAAGGTGCCACAGAGGCAGAGGAGAGGTGGAGAGAGCAGGAAGTATGTCCTACGGGGAAAGATAGAGCGAGGAAAAGGGGGTGGGGTGTGATTTTAAATAGAGCAGAGTGAACCTCATTGAGAATGTGGCATTTGAGCCCTGGCTAGGTAGTTCAGTTAGATGCAGAAGTAGGGAATCTTTTTTCTGCCAAGGGCCATTTGAATATTTATAACATCATCCATGAGCCATGCAAAATTATCACCTTAAAAATTAGCCTGCTGTATTTGGTCCAACATTTAACTCACCCCTAATGCCTTGGCAGGGCCAGACCAAATGATTTCGCAGGCCTTATATGGCTCAAGGGCCAGAGGTTCCCTACCTCTGAGTTAGAGCATCATCCTGATACACCAAGATTGCAGGTTTGATCCCCAGTCGGGGCACAGACAAGAATCAACCAATGAGCGCATAAATAAGTGGCACAACAAATCAATCTCCTCTCTCTAAATAAATAAATAAATAAATAAATAAATAAATAAGATGTGGCATTTGAGCAAAGACAGAGGTAACTATGGGAAGAGTAATTCAGGCAAAGGAACAGTCACTGAAGGACGGAGGTAAGGAAGGAAGCTCCAATGTGGCTGGAGTGGGCAGAGTTGGGCTGGGGTAGGGGAGGTCAGAGAGGAAACAGACTAGGGAGGTAGGGCCTTGGCCATTGCAAGGACTTTGGCCTCTATTTCACCCCGAAGGAACCTGAGCCCAAGAGGGTGAGAGGTAGTGAGTTTAGTTCAGTTGAGCACCACCACTGACCAACCCTTGGACCCTTACCCAGGTCTTTCTGAGCTTCCCTTCACCCCAGGGCCCAGCCTGTGCTTCACTATAGACACAGGTGGGAGAGGCCCTTTCTCTGGGCCCCATGCTACTGAGGGCATCAGCTGGCATGAGGGAGAGGCTTAGGGTGGGGCAGAGAGGGCACTGGGTGCACTGGGGGTGGGAGATGGGGGGCTGGTATAAGGGAATGAGTGAGTGCTTACCGCTTCTTCTTGTCCGCTTGAGTCATGCTGGCAGAGAGATTTAGATACTGTGGAAGCAGAGAGAGGTCACTAGGGCTTGGGGGTGCAGAACTTGGCCCCACGTTTTCATCAGACCTCAGCCTCCAGGAGAAGCCACAGGACCAGTTGCTACTGGTTCCAACCCCTCAACCCAGCCAACCTGGCAGGGAGTAGGCATGCGGCTGGCTGTGCTTCAGCCAATGGGAAGAGGTCCTGGAGTCCTACCCCCCTACCATGCTGTCCTCAGGACCCTAACCTCTGGACCAGGCCCTTCAGAGCTCCTCTGACCTTCCCAGGTCTGAGACACGCTTTGGACAGTGGGGATGACCACAGACTCCCCTCAGTGGCTCCACCCTCACACGTGCGGCTATTATTGCCTTGAGTCTAACCTCAAGCCCTCTGGCTGCTGACTTCAACTGTGACTTTCCAGGGCCTCTTCCTTACACACACATATGCACACAGGATGAGCTTCTAAAAATTCATTTAGTCCATACGCCCCTCAGAGCAAGGTTTGTCCTTCTCACCATTCCTGGAAATTCCTTATATTCCCACTTTCCTTGGAAATGGCAGCACGAATATAACTCTTGAGGTTCCCCACCCCCCTTGTTCTCTAGCCCAATTCCCTCTCGCTGCAGCTCCGTCACCACCCTAGCCTGACTGCAGAACCCCTTGAGCCCCAGCCCCAGCCTCTCAGGAGGAGAGACAGCTCCAGCAACGCCAGCAATAACCCATCTCTCTGATCCTCATCCCTCCTGCTTCAATCCAATGTTGCTGGTCTCCACTCTCTCCTGGCCCCACCCCCTCACCCTGCTGACAGCCCAGCGCCACACGTCCTCCCAATCTGCTCCACCACTGATCCTCCCAGCATTCAATTTACAGGTAAGGAAACAAGCCCAGAGAGAGTGTCATGCAGCAACTCAGGACTAAACCAGAACAGACAACCAGGCTTTCACCTCCCAGCTGGGGTTTCTTCCCCTGATGCTCACATGGTCACCTCTTCCCCATGTGGTTCCCAGGGAATGGCATTCCCAGGCCTGGGTCCCGAAGAGGCCCCCTTGTCCCAGCCCTGCCCTGGAGTCAGACTCACGCTGCTGAAATGGCTTCTTTCTCAGCGTCCACTTGGGGCCTTCTCAGTTACAGCAGGTCTCAGTCATGTTTCTCCATGACTGTCCCAAGCTCTGGCTGCTCCCTCAGCTGGGGCTCCGTTGTCCTTGTGTCCCTTGTCTAGGGCCCGCCCCTCAGCCCTCTTGGGGCGACTCCAAGTGCTGCTCTGCTCTGCTCTTCTCCTCCAGAGGAGAGGTCAGTGGAACAGGGGTTTGGCCCGTACCACTTGAGCCAAGTCCAGATGAACTGCCCAGAATAGCATCACTTCTGCCAGCAGTGCCAAGGAAACCACGTTCTGAGACAGCCATTGTGAGGTCAGAGATGGAGCCCAGGGTGGGCGCTGGGCCTCACGGTCCCAGAGGAAGGACCTGTCCTCCAAGCCAAGTGTCCAGCCCAGAGCCAGGGGAAGCCCTCCCAGGCCCCAGGCCCCAGGCCCCAGGCCCAGGGGAGGCTCCAGAGGCTCCTGCACGTCTGGCTGTGGGGAGAGTTGTGCAGAATGTGGATTGGAATGTTCTGAAGATCAACAACCAGGTGGAGAGGTTCGGGCGAGACCCTGGGACAGTCCTCAGGGAGCCCCTATTCTGAAAGAGGAATGGGGGACGCAGGACCTGGACTTACCCAGTCTGAAGGAAAGGAGGACATATGAGCCCTATTTGCAGGAAAGCCCCAGTCTGAGCGGGGAGGGAGAAAGCCAAGCCCGGTCCTCTGGCGGTCCCTAATCTGGAGTGGGAGAGAAGAAGCCTGGGCCTCAGCCTCTGGGAGCCCCCATCTAAGCAGGCTGGGACACCTAGGCCCTGTGCTCGGAAACGCTTCCCTTGGGGATAGCAAGTGAGGCCCCTGTGGGGGAACCAAAGCTGACCAGAGTATGGAGCTCCGACCCAGGGCTGCAGGAGCTCAGTGACTAAGGTGGGGACCCACTGCCTTCTAAAAGGACTTGTGGAGCTGGAGCATCGCTGGGCCTCCAAGGATGAGGCAATTCGGGATTTAAACAGGTGACCCAGTGCTGAGACAAACGGGAGTGGTTGCTGGTCTGCAAATTGTAAGGAGACCCGTGAAGTGGACTGGTAGGTGGGAGACAGTAAGTCCAGGGAACTCCTTGTGGGGAGGCAGTGTAAGAGCCGGAATAGGACTGTCCTCTAGAGGGGGCCAGTAGACCAGGCCAGGTCTGGAACCTGGGCTGCCTAGGTCCCCATCCCAACTTGTCCTGCAGGTCATGCTTCAGGGAGAGGCCGGGGTCAGCTGCCGTCTGAATCAGAAGTCATCCTTAGGAATGAACTCTTTCATTACCCCCCCGCCCCCCGCACCCCACACACACATACACACACACACTTTGAGGCTCTGCCCCTCACCTCTGCAGTCTCAAGTGGGCTCAGGATGCTGTCCTTCCTGGGACAGGAGAATGTACCCTGGACATGGGGGACACCTGCCTTTACTCCTTTCTTGTGTGTGCTTTTGGGATGAGGGTGAGGTAAGGTGAAGGTAGCAACAGCCCATCAAGTCAAAAACTAATTTGGTTGAAAATGAATTGGTAAAATGAGTATGCTACGGGGCAATTTTTGCAAACTTTGATATTTCTTTAGGCATTTAGTCCCTCTTTCAGAAATTGTTTAGTTTTCTTGTTCTAACTGTGTCTGCAATACACTATTTTTACTAGCAAAAGGTTGGAAATAACCCCATGCTCATTTATTTCTCATGACACCAAAAATCTTACAATGTGAACTGGTGAGTGGTGACATTCATGTTCAACCTAATTGAAAATTTAAATACTTATGAACACATAGCCAAGCAAGTGGAGCAGATATAATTGTCTATCATTGAAGTGGAAAATTTTTTTAAATTGAAAACAAATTTGAAAATCTCAGATTCTTTTATTTATTGTCTAAAATAATAAAAGAATAAAACCTATATAAAGTTTTTGTACAGTACTTTTTTCATTGAAAACATTTATTCAGAATAGCTTTTCATGCCAATAGGCCCACATCCACATCATGCATGTGTCTGTACAGCACAGAATTTTAAATGTGTCCAACTCTTCTCTCTCATGAACAGCATGGGACAGACACAAGTGGTTGAAACGCAATAAGGAGTGAACATGCAAATAGAAATTTTTTTAAATGAGAGTGAAAGAAAACACCCAAAGATGCCAAAAATTCTCTGATCTCCAAAATGCCCCCAAAAGTGTTGATGTGTAAAAAGCTAATCATTTTAGCTAATTATTTGTTTCAACCAACATGCCACTTGATTAACTTACTTATCATGTAAACTACTTGCAATCAAATTGTCTTAGACTTGGGGTTTTTCTGACTCTTTAGAGCAGTGGTTCTCAACCTTCTGGCCCTTTAAATACAGTTCCTCATGTTGTGACCCAACCATAAAATTATTTTCATTGCTACTTCATAACTGTAATGTTGCTACTGTTATGAATTATAATGTAAATATCTGATATGCAGATGGTCTTAGGCGACCGCTGTGAAAGGGTTGTTCGACCGCCAAAGGGGTCGCGACCCACAGGTTGAGAACCGCTGCTTTAGAGCCCTGGGATCCTTTGTACACCTGAGCAGTCCATCGCATCACTCAGTAAGAAAGGAGCTGCTCTGGCTGCAGAGCAGGCCTGGGGGTGGGAGCACAGTACAGGTCCCTCCAGGTGAAATCACTTGAAGTTGTGAGATTATCTATCTATCTATCTATCTTTATCTCTCTCTAATATACATTTTTATTGATTTTAGAGAAGAAGGGAGAGGGAGAGAAAGATAGAAACATCAACGATGAGCCCTAACCGGCTTGGTTCAGTGGATAGAGTGTTGGCCTGCAGACTGAAAGGTCCCAGGTTCGATTCTGGTCAAGGGCATGTACCTTGGTTGCGGGCACATCCCCAGTAGGGGGTGTGCAGGAGGCAGTTGATCCATGTTTCTCTCTCATTGATGTTTCTCTCTATCCTGCTCCCCTTTCTCTGTAAAAAATCAATAAAATATCTTTTTTTAAAAAAAGAAAGAAACATCAATGATGAAAGAGAATCATTGGTCAGCTGCCTACTGGGGATCAAGCCAGCAACCGGGCATGTGCCCTAACTAGGAATCAACACTCAACCACTGAGCCACACCAGCTGGGTGAAGTTCTGAGATTCTCATTTTCCTCAAAAAGAAAACATCCTTAAGCTTCACCTAGGTAAGTGTTCCCTTTCAAACTCATTTTTCAGGTAGAAAATTGAGATTCAGAGCAAGGTAACAACTTGCCCAAGATCACCCAGAACCAGAACGTCTAGATCAGAACTCTGCCCCTTCCCTAGTAGGCGAACTGGGGGTTACGGGGCTAGTCCGGGGCAGGGTTGAGGGAGGACAGCACAGGCAGACCCAGGGTGGTCTTTAACCCTGACATTGCAATAACCATACCCCCAGCCCCAGCTCTTATCCTTCCTTCTCAGTCATGCCTGGACCTCCAGGACAATGTGGACAAAGACTAGAGCAGACAAGGTCAGGAGGCACAGCCACTTGCCAAAGGGCACACATCCTGTAAGTCAAAAAACCAGAATTCAAACCCAGGCCTGCTCCACTCTAAAGCTAATGTCAGACGGCCTGATGTGGCATCAGAAACCAGGCATAGAGTCCAGGCTGTCACTTTCTAGTATGAGCTGGAGCTATCAGGGAAGGCTTCCTGGAGGAGGGAGCCTCATTGACAAAGTTGGGAGATGATAGTGAAGGAATAGGCATGTATAAAAAGCATGTGTATCTTTGTATATGTCTGTGTGTGAGCATGTGTGTGAATGGGCAAGTTTGTGTGTGCATGTGCATATCTCTATCTGGTCTTGCATGTGAAAATTACTTTCTATGTTCTCTCTCTCTCTCTCTCTCTCTCTCTCTCTCTCTCTCTCTCTCTGTCTCTCTCTCTCTCTCACACACACACACAGGGCTCTAAAGCAGTGGTTCTCTCTCTCTCTCTCTCTCTCTCTCACACACACACACACATACACACACACGCGCGCGCGCGCGCGCGCGCGCGCGCGCGCGCGCGCGCGCGCGCGCGCGCGCGCGCGCGCGCGCGCGCGCGCGCGCGCGCGCGCGCACGAAGTGGTGCACACATGAGTATGAGCCCATTCCACTGGGTTAATATTTTCCTGCCTGCGTCAGCACAGTCCCAGTCAGTGGGCAGCTCACTGCAGGAACGTGCCCTATCTGATCTGGTCAGCTGCTACGGGCCTAGAACAGGGGGGGTTGCGGTGGGCAGAAAGCCCATCTCAGCAACCCCAGGGCGAGCTACTCTCTCTCTACTCTCCTGCTCAGCCTGAGGAAGCAGGCAGGCCCAGTGGCAGCGAAGCCCCAGTGTGATTCTATTGCCCAGCCTCCCCACCCACACTGGGGGATCCCCAAGTGGAGAAGCCTCCCTTCTTCCCTCAGAATAGACAAGGCCAGAGGCTCCCCAAGGTACTTCTTCGCTCCCTTATTTTTGCCCTGATCCCAAGGCCTCTCCAAACACAGATGTTCCACTGAGGATGAACGGCGTAGAGACCGAGAGGAAATGGTCACAGGGTGTCCCCCTTAGCAGAGGAGCAGGCCATCCTGTGGGGTTTTATTTACAGCTTTTCAAGAACACAGTGATTACACTAAGGGCCTGCCGAGAGGTCTGTGTGGGCAGGGACTGGGCACGAGCACCACAGGCACTGAGCCTCAGCGAGGAAGGCTCAGTGAAACACGGGGACCTGCGTACAGCCTCCTGGGTATAGCCTCCTGGTTCCTGGGCCTCGCCCAGTGCCAATGGGAGTCCTCCCACACTCCCACCGGTCCTTGGGATGCAGGCTGCATCAGACCGGGGTAGGCAGACAGACACAGTCTCTTCCGCTCTGGGCACAGCCCAAGATCCAGGGAGAGTCAAACCAGATGTCCTAGCTCCTAGCCCATCTTGAGATGCCCTAATACGTCTTAGTAGAGGAGAGACAAGGATGGAGTCTAGAGGGTGGACCACGACACACATCTGCTACCTGCACCCCCAGTTGCTCCCCACAGTGCACACTTAGAGGCTTCCTGCCTCCCTCAGGCTCCATGTCTGGGCAGCTTTCTCCCTACCCTAAGGCCACTTCTGACTT